AACCAACCATGGTGAGAGTATTACATCACTGAAATTGGTAAATGCTACCAATCAGAGTTTGATTTATTATTTTGTTGATTGCCTACACTTAAGAAAGTGATGAAAAAAATATTAACAATGCAAATTAAATTTGGAGTGTATTAGGTCTGCAGGTATTTTATTGTGAATAACATAACAAAACTTGAGGAAATATTCCTCCAGTATTGGAAAACTACTATCCAAATCAGCAAAGTCACTTGACTAGTGAAGTTCCAAAATATGTCTTTATTGTTTCACTTTCATCTTACTATTAATGTAAATGAAAATATCAACCAACATTTATCTTGGAACTACACTAGTTTTTTCAGCAATTGCAACCATTAGTTGGCTACAGATAGCTTGGCAAAAATCAATTAAAGCATTCTGTGAGCCCTGGCCAGTTTGGCTCAGCGGTTAGAGCGTCGGCCTGCGGTCCCGAGAGACCCGGGTTTGGTTCCCGCTAAGGGCACGTACTTCGGTTGCAGTTTGTCCCTGGCCCTGGTTGGTCGTGCGGGTGGCAGCCACTCGATGTGTCCCTTCACGTCGATGTTTCTCACTCTCTCTCTCTTCCTCTCTCTCCCTCCCATTCTATCTGTACAAAAAAATGGAAAAATATCCTCGGGTGAGGATAAAAAAAAAAAAAAAAAAAAGCATTCTGTGAGAATAAATTGGTCATGTGGAATTTACAATAAGGAATTGTGTATATTTTATTATTTTTGTGAATGGTGTCCTATGCATCATTTACATCAGTAAACTTTATTATATTTTTCACTTTTTTTTAATCCTCACCCAAGGATATTTTTTCCTGTTATCTTCAGATAGAGTGGGAGAGAGAGAGAGAAAGAAACATTGACATTTAGAGACATATCAATTGGTTGCCTCCCTCACCAGGACCAAACTGCAACCGAGGTACATGCCCTTGACTGTAATCGAACCCGCAACTCTTTGGTCCACGGGCTGATGCTCTAACCACTGAACAACTGGCCAGGGCAGTAAACTTCATTATAAATTTATATGGGTACACACTCACACATTTTTTCCCCCTAGAGAACCAGATGTTAAACATTTACCAGCACAGCATTGCTAATACACAACTCAAACTTAACATGTCCAAGACTGAACTCGTGATTTCCCATACCAAACCAGTTGCTCCTGCAGGTGTCTTCATCTTAATAAACAGCAGCTTCATTCTTCCAGTTACTCTAGCCAAAACTCTTAAAGTTATCTGTGACTCTTTCATACCCACATCCAACCCATCAGGAAATCCTTTTGCCTCTACTTTCAAAATATATTCAGGCTCTGACACTTCATACTACCTCTACTGCCATCACTTTGGTCTAAGCCTACATGTCCCCTCATATGGACTACTACAATAGCCTTCTGACTGGTTTTCATATTTCAATACTGCAGTTAAAATATAAATTAGAAATGTCATTCCCCTGCTTAAAACTCTTCAATGGCTTCCCATCTCACTCAGAGTCCAAACCAATCTTTACAACGGCTTATAAGATCCCACAGTATCTGTTCCCCATCCTGTTACCTCTCTAACCTCATCTCTTGCTATTTTTCCATTCACTCACTCCACTTCATCTACACCAACCTCTTTGCTGTTCTCCAAAAACATCATGCATGCTCTTGCCTCAGGACATTTGTACTTGCTGTTTCCTCTACCTGGAATGTTCTTCTTCGTTTTCCCCACTGTTTGCTCTCTCTCTTCTGGTCTTTGCTCAAATGACATTTTCTCAGTGAGACTTGTGATCATTTGAATTAAAGTTGCAATCCCTCCCCACCCCACCACCACATTCTCTATCCCTCTCCCCTACTTATCACCTACTGTACTATAAGTTTCATACTATACATGTCAATTACTATTCTCCCCCCCAACTAGAATGTAAAATCAAGAAATTTTTATCTATCTTATTAACTATATATTCCTAGATCTTAGACTAGTGTCTTGTACATAGTAGGTGCTTGACTATTTGTTGAATGAACAAAGCATTAATAAGTATTCTAAATGCCCATAAAAAGCTTCTCTGAGCTTATTATGAGAAAGACAATTATGAGGTATCCAGAAGAGTCCTCTACCCTTTCAGGTGCTCAGCTGAGAAGTGCATGCATTTGTCTGTGCCTGTGGGTCTCCCACTTGTGTAGATAGACCACCTGGGAATAGCTGTGCTCTTTCACAAACCAAAACTTCATAGTGAACTGAAAATAAGATGACAAAATATACACTGTGGGCTAAAATCACAGCATCTCATATCAGACTCTAGCATAGACAACTAATAAAAGTCACCAGAAAGTCTAAGAAAAATGAATATTTACTGAGTAGTTAGTGTACACTAGAGGGACACAAAGATGATTCAGATATAGACCTGCCTGCCCGTAAAGAGCTCACAGTCTGGTGGCCATGGAAACAGACAACTATATCATATTATTATCAGCCCACTAACAGGAAAATGTACTAGACACAAAGCAACAGAGAGGAGGGAGTGATTAAGTGTAGTAGCAGAGGGGGGTGCTATCTGAGCTAAGTTCCAAAGCATGAATAAGGGAGGAGGAAAGGGCCCAGAAGAGATTTACAAGTGAGAAATATTTCACCAACTTTTTTTTTTTCCTGCTTAGTAGAAATGCCTACCTATCTGGATTTTAATGGGAAATAGCTCAGCTAAGTTTGCAAAGCTCAGAGTTGTGTGAAGCAGAATTTGAGAATCCCTGGTTATTGGGACATGCAAGGAAAGGCTGAGTGAAAGGGGCAGATGGCAGGAAGGGAGAGAAACCACTTCACAGGGGCAAAGCAGAGAAGATGGGACCATTTAATACCATAGGACCCATCAAAGGCTCAAGGTTCCAAGAAAGAAGAGGGAAGAAGAGTAGAAACGGCAGGGACACTTTATTTCTGCCTTGGCTATTGTCTAAAGTATGCCTTTTCTTGTTTTCCATCTCTCCTGATAATGTTTTCTGCTCCTAAGTAGAGAGACCACCTTGATAGTGCAGAAAGTTCCCATGTCTGACTCTAAAGGCCTGGGTTTCAGTCTTATTAACTGTATGATCTTATGCCCAGTTTTAAAACCTTTGCTTGCCACAGCCTAGAGAGTAAAATCAAACTCCTTGACTTGGCACTCAAGACCTTTCTCCATCTGGCCCCTGATGACCCCTCCAACCTCTTCTGTCCTATAACCCTTCTCACCCCAAATAGCCAAGCACTTCTCTTGAGCTCTGTGCTTTCACAGACACTGCTGCCTCAGGCTGACATCTTTGTCCCCTTCCTCATTCCCAAACTGGAGAATTCTCATTCCTTTCTGAAGACATCACTCTAGGGTTATTATCTCCAAGAGGCTTTTCCTGACTATTAGGTTAGCAACTACCTCTGGGCCTCAGAACCCCAGATCTTCCTCTACCCCAGCATCTGGAGCACATCTGCTCTTGCTGCTTCCTATCTACTCTCTACAGAACAGCCAGAGTAATCTCTCTATAACACAAGACTCACTGCTATTCCCCCACTTAAAAAAAAGAACCTTCATTCCTTAGCTTAAAGACAATAATCTTTACTATAGCCTACCAGGTTTTGTATGACCTCATCCCTGCCTGCTCTACACCTCCTCCTCTCACTCTTTGCTCTCTCTGCTCCAGCTGAACTCCAGTCTTTGTTTCTCAAAGCATCATGTTTTCTCTCTCCTCAGGACTTCTACATTTTTAACCTGGCTAATTTCTACTCATTCTTTAGAGGTCAGCTCAAACCTTCCTTCTTCTGGGATCTCCTTGTGCCTCATCCCTATCCCCAAGACTAGTTTAGTTGGTACTTACCACAATAGCAATTTTAGACCTATTTATGAATTATTCAATACTTGTGCCTCCCCCAACCCCCCCCCCCCCACACACACACACACATACACTCTCTTGTTCACCACTGCATAAGAGGCACCTACAGGAGAACCTGGTGTAGAACAGATGCTCAAGAAATTATTTGTTAAATGACTGTAGGAATGCTTAGTTAGCTCTTATAACATTACACAAAATCCCTAGTTTACCTGGCTTCTCTCATGGCAACCTGTGAGCTCCTGGGCAACTAGTACAGTGTCAGCACCCAGCACCATAGTTGGCATTTAGTGGGGTTCAGTAGGGGTTTTCTGAGTGTGGGAGTCACTATGATGTGCTGCCCAAACCCCCCATCAGTGAAAACTTAAGACACCAGTGCTGTTGGTGGAAAGCCCTTAACTGTCAGCCCCTCCATGGACAGGGCCACCTTGGCTCCTGTCACACCTCTTCCCAGATGACCCACATCCAATGACTGATGAAGGCAAGGATATAAAAACCTGGCCAATTTAGTTTATCTGGGGACAACTCTGATGGGCCATTCCAGCTTGAGTCCCTGTGGAGTCAGCCAAAACTATCCTTGGGCCTGCATGGAGCTCTGGACTTCTGCCCACTCCTACCCCCACCTTTCCTTTCCATGCATGTTGATTCCCAGGGTGTTTCCTCAGAAACATCCTGCACTGCAATCTCATCTCAGAATGGGCTTCCCAGGAACCCAACCTGCAACAGGCCTTCCATTTTCTCTTCCCCTTCTCCCTGCCATCTCTTTCAGGAGCCATTCATTCATTCATTCATTCATTCACTTAAAGCTTGTAGGGACTATTCAGCTGACAAAGTGTTACACATCCATTTTTCTATATCTCCCATTCTACACAATCTACCTGCTACAAGAAGGCAGGCTAGCTCCACTGAACAGATGGAGAAACTGAGCCCCAGAAAGGTGGAATGACAAGCTAAAGGCTTATGTGCTCATTAGAAGCTAGCTCTCAAATCCAGATTTTCGCTTCCTTTCCCTATCAAATCGCTGCATCCTAGAACAAAAGAGAGAGAACCTCAGTGAACTGAATTCTGGTCTTGATGGTCAAAATCTTGGAATCATGGCTTTGGGGTCCAGGAAGGCGCGCGGAGTCCAACGCTCCCGCAGTAAGGATGGGGAAACTGAGGTCTAGAGCCTGACTGCACCGCTCACGGAGAACGAGAAGGGGGCGCGTCCTGCCTCGCTGGCCGCGGCTGGGTGGTGCTGGAGCCGCCTCCTCCCGCCCCCACGCTGGGTCACCCCCCACCCCCACCCCCCGCCATCAGTCTTTGCCCTCGCAACTCGGCCACCTTGGGAACAAGTCATGGTGGCTGCACTGGTGTCGGCGTGGCTGCTCCTGGCGGTCGTGGCCTGCGCACAGCGGGAGCAGGACTTCTACAACTTCAAGGCTGTCAACATCCGGGGCAAGTTGGTGTCGCTGGAGAAGTACCGCGGTTCGGTGAGTGTACGCCCGCGGGGCCTCGGCGCCGCCCTGGCAGGGCCTGATGGGGGCGCCCCGCGGCCCTGTAGCCTGCTGGGTGTGGCTGCGATGGCGCTCCGGCTGCCCGGTGACACTGCTCTGGCTCCCTGCCCCCACCCGGGCATTCCTCCTAGGGCGCGACGCCCCCAGATCCTTCTCGGGGGTCTGTCCTGCGACTACGTGGCACGGCCCTGGCACACAGTGAAACCCGAGAAACTCTCACAGTCGGCTCTGGTTTCCCTGCCGCCAACTTTGAGCAGTGGGTCCGGAACTCTCCCAGAGGATGAATGCCTCAGCTCAGCCTTTGTCACGCAAGGGTGGAAAAGTAACCCTAGCATCCTGCAGCTTTTGTTTCTCCCAACCCCAGTTTCTGAGTCTGCAACTGGGGGAATTAATGATATTGAGTTGAATGAGAACACTGTAGAAATGAATGTGGAGTGCAGAGGGAGTGCACAGGTACCTTACACAAATCCTCCAGGGAGGACACTAAGGCCCAGAGAAGGAAGATGTATTTGTACAGGGTCACACAGCGCTAGAAATCACAGAGCCTGGAGGAGAACCATTCATCCATCCTTGGGTGTACTCCAGGCAAACTCCTAAGATGGCCTCTCAGGATGAAATATAAGAGCCATCCAGGCTAACTGCTACCTCCTTACCAAGAGGGCATCTCAGCTCAGAGCGGACTGCAAAAAGGAAGTTTGTGGGGTGAATCTTTGAAACAAGAGTGAGTTTTATCAAGATCAAGAAGATCATTCCAGGCAGAGAACTGTCCATGTCAAGGCTACAAAGCAAACACCAAGAAGCATGATGGAGGGGGTGGTGGTGGTGATGGTGACTTCAAGCAGTTGCACTTGAAAGGGGTATAAAGCATGAGGCTGAGAATGGTGGAAGATGAGGCTGAAGAGTGTAGGGAGGCACCAAGAGGGGCCATGAACACTATGTTTATAGGCCTAGATGTTGCACTGTGTGAAAGTCCACTTGCCAAATGAGGCTGTGGTGTGGGAAGGGTGGGGAGTTGGTCTCTGATGGACAGGCGGGCCCATTGTCCAGATTTGGATGGAACACACAGAAATGGCTATTAGCATTCTTCTCCAGGAAGCAAAGTCATTTTTAGTGAAAAAAGTACTCTCTAAGCCTTTAAATTCTGGGGAAATAATCCTTGTCCTGATTGTCCTCCAAGGTATTGTGAATTTCAAATGAGATGACAGTGTGGAAGGACTTGGTAGAGTGCTCTTTACCTGTGTTTGGTGGGCCCCAGCAGGAGCTACATCCAGAACTCAGAGCAAAGAGCCAATAATAAGAGTGGGGCCCATTCCCATTCAGGCCTCTCCTTCCCTCTAGTGCAGCAGGACCACAGAGCCCCAGGTTTAGCACTTGACCAGCTCTGCTACTCAATTCATTATTTCTTATTGAGCACCTGCTGTATACAAAGGTACTAGGCCAGCCCTGGGGATACAGTGGTGAACAAAACAGACAAGTTTCTACTTTAATAGAGCCTATATGAGGTGAGAGGAGAAAGAAAAAAAAAAGAAACAGAAAAATGAACAAGGTAATTCCTAATAGTAATAAGTGCTATGACAAGAATAGAACAAAGTCTATTTGTTTGTTTTCAGAAATAATAAGACATCCAGGATGTGAGGAACAGAAATCCTGGAGAAAAGTGACTCAGAGAAGTAATCCCAGAATTCTGAGTGTTTCAATACTCTATCTAGGTCATTGATAAATGCATGGGAGCAAGAGGCCAAGAAATCAATTAGAATGAAACTGAAAAAAAAAAAAAAAGTCACAGAGCTAGTAAGTGCTTGAGTTAGAATTCAAACCCAGGCAGTACAGCTCCAGAGCCCATACCCTTAAACACCAGGTTAAGAGGGGAACTAGCAACAGCCAGTCAAGGAGAGCTATGAATGATGCTGAGTTAACCCCAAACTAGGTCTGCCACTTGGGCAATATGGTCATTTACTCAGCTCCAAATAGTTATTAACTCATTATGTATATTTCATCATAATTTTTTTAATTGAAAAAAACATTTACCGGCTCCCTTTACATGTTTGGCACTGGGTCCAGCCCTAGAGATATAGCTATAAGCAAGACTATAATTTATGCTCTCAGGCTAACTGGGAAGACAGTCATTTAGACTAGTGTTGAGTATGAATGAATGGGTGACCATTTGGGAATATGCTTGCCTGCAGTGTGAGGTTATGTACATGTAGGCCTCTGTGTGTGTGTGTGCGTGTGTGTATGTGTGTGTATGGTTTGTTTGTTTGCTTGCTACACAAATTATGTGTATTTGGATGTGTCTGTTTGAGCCACTTTAAAGATAAGTTGTTTGGTTTCAAGCATGGAACTAGAAGTAGGATTTCCTTCCTTCTAAGAGTGAGCAGACACACAAGATGCACACAAGGTTAAAAATAAGCAATTTTTAATGCTCTCAATGCCCAGGGATCCAGCAGAGAAGAAAGAGGAAGACCCCTATTAGGGAAGGAAGTTAAAGATCCCAGTTTCTCATTACCACAGGCAGAATATGGCATCTGCTGATGCAAATGGGGGAGGTTGTTCTAATAGCCTATGGCTCCAGAGAACAAGTTGTTTCTCATCTGATGGAGGCAGAGTGAAGGAGTTACAGCTCAGTGGTTCTCTTTGTGTAGCCAACTGGGGGTAATTTTCCTCCCTAGGGGATATTTAGCAATGTGTGGAGACATTTTTGATTCTCAAGACTAGGCATCTAGTGGATAAAGGCCAGGGATGCTGCTAAACATCCTACAATGAACAGAATAGCCCCCCTCACATCAAAGAATATCCAGCCCAAAATGTCTAATCTGAGCAGTTTGTGCCTATGCATGTCCAGTGCCCCAGGTTGCCCCTGGGAAATGGCCCTCTTTATGGAGCCAGCTGGTATAATCCTGGCTCTTCTAAAAAAGGTGGCCAGAGAAATAGGGCTGGGCAGCCCAGACACAAGGTAAGATTTAAAATCCTTTAATAATATATAACTAAAAGCTAAAAACAGCATTGGTGCCAGAATTCTAATTGCAGTATTATAATTAAGTTCCACCAGCCAGCTTTATATTTATCACCTAAAGGCACAAAATAAATTCATAAACAAATTTATATATATATATATACATACATTTATAAAAACAAATAAAATATACGATGATAATAAATTTAAGGTTGAGTCTAGTGATAGAAGAAAGCGGTATTTGTTTGCTGGAGTGAGAGAGGTAAAAAGAGATTCCTCTAGGGACCTTGTGATCCTTTTATCAGGAAAATCCATATCTGGTAAATTTCCAAAAATATATAGAGTACTCTTACAACTCAACAAAAGGAAGACAAAGAACCCAATTTAAAAAATGGGCAGAGGACTTAATAGACACCTGTCCAAACAGGACATACAAATGGCCAAGAGACATATGAAAAAATGCTCAGCGTCACTAGCCATGAGAGAGATGCAAATTAAAACAACCATAAGGTATCACCTCACACCTGCCAGAATGGCTGCCAGTCAACAAATCATCAAACAAGTGCTGGCAAGGATGTGAAGAAAAGGGGACTTTAGTACACTGCTGGTGGGAATGCAGACTGGGGCAGCCACTATGGAAAACAATATGGTGTTCCCTCAAAAACTTAAAAATGGAACTGCCATTTGACCCAGTGATCCCACTTCTAGGAATATATTCCAAGAAGCCTGAAACACCAATCAGAAAGAATATATGTACCCCTATGTTCATAGCAGCACTATTTACAATTGCTAAGATCTGGAAACAACCCAGTGTCTGTCCATCAATAGATGAGTTGATAAAAAAGCTGTGGTACATATACACAATGGAATACTATGCAGCTGTAAGAAAGAAAGATCTCTTATCCTTTGAGATGACATGGAGGGACCTGGAGAGTATTATGTTGAGCAAAATAAGCCAATCAGAGAAAGACAAATATCACATGATCTCACTTATTTGTGGAACATAATGAACAAAATAAGCGGATGAACAAAATAGACCCAGAGACATAGAAGTGGGGTTCAGACTTACAAACCTCAGAGGAGGGGGGTGAGGGGGAGATAAACCAAAGAATTTATATGTATATATGCATAACCAATGGACATAGACAACAATGCTGTGAGCGGGGGGAGGGGATCGGGAGTAGGGTGTCAATGGGGGAAAAAGAAGAAATATCTGTAACAAAAATTAATTAATTAATTAATTAAATTAAAAAAAAAAGAAAACCCATGTCTATCAATGTAGCCACGCAGATGACTGTGTATGTGTGCACACTTAATTCATTCAGCATGCACTTTCTTTTCCATATGTCAGGCCCTGGAGTGAAGTGGACATAGCTCCTGCCCTCAGTGGGTTCACATTCTAGAAGGGAGACTGACACGTGTGCAGACAAATAACTGTGATGAGTGCTAGCTGACGGAGCCAGAAATTGAACCCGGTCGACCTTTCTACTCCCCCACATAACCTCTTGATGTGAGCTCCCCAGTGTCTATGCCTCTCTCTGATTGTGCTGTGTGTTTGTGGGCATGTATGATGTGTGCTAATGTATCTTTGTATCATGGGGCATATGCATACCCAATTGTGACTGTTGCGTGCTTATTCTCCTGAATGTTCATGTATGTGTATGCACACATATCTGTAAATCCTGTGTGTTTGATTTCATTTGTGCCTGTGTGCATATGTTTGTGTATATATACACATTTACATGTGTACATTGTGTTCTTGTATGTATGAGAAAGATCATTACTTATAGGGGAGAGTCACACATGTGGGCATGTCAGGATGTGTACAAGCGTATGCCTCTTCACTGGGCCGTGCATGTCTGGATTTTGTTTTTACTATCCAGGTGTCCCTGGTGGTGAACGTGGCCAGCGAGTGTGGCTTCACAGATCAGCACTACCGGGCCCTGCAGCAGCTACAGCGGGACCTGGGGCCCCACCACTTCAATGTGCTTGCCTTCCCCTGCAACCAGTTTGGCCAACAGGAACCCGACAGCAACAAGGAGATCGAGAGTTTTGCCCGCCGCACCTACAGTGTCTCTTTCCCCATGTTTAGCAAGGTCGCAGTGACCGGCACTGGTGCCCACCCTGCCTTCAAGTACCTGACCCGTGAGTCTTGATTCTTCCCCTCACCTTCCCTCAGCTGGCTGAGGGCAGTGGCTCCCTGGGCAGCAGAAGTCACTGGCTAGCTGAGTGACCTGGGGCCCTTTCCAGACTCCTCCCCCAGATGGGTTGATGGTCTATTCCAGCACTAATCTTTGAGGGTGAGCTTGAGGGGTATTCCTGCCTAAGAATATCATCACCCTGCTGCCTTTCAGCTCTCCCGCAGAGTCAATCTTGCAGACATCTCTGGGCTTTTGTGTTTTTGTCAATGTGAATTAGTTAGACTTACGCTGGAGAAACTGAGGTGCTGACAGAGTCAAAATCTATTCGTCAGTGGAGAGAAACCTGGGATAAAATACCATATCTCAATATTTAGAAATAGACCCCTTCTCCAGCCCTAGAAGCCTCAGAGCCAAAGAATGGGGTCATGGGCCACACTTGTCATTATGATCCTGTTTCCTCCTTGGGGCCTCTCTCCTCCAGGGGCTCCATTTTTGCCTCTCCCACTCCCTGCTTCTGGTTGCCTTCATATTCCCTCACCACCCCCCACCAACCCTTTCACCTGGAGAAATAAATGAGAAACAACAGTGTAGCAAACAAAAGGTCCCTTACTGAGGCAGATTGGAATTTTGCTCTGTGGGTCAATCCTAATATTTACTTTTTTTCCCCCTGTGTGTTTTTATTAGTTCCTTCCCAGTTACCATAGTTATAGATCAAACCTGGCCCTGTTTTGGAAGCACCTGGGGAGCTCTTAAAAGTGCATTAGCCTGAAACCTACTGAAGCAGGGCCCACGAATCTGTTTATTTTATGCACCCCTCACCACCACCACCATGATTCAGATGAAACCAGTCCAAGAACATTTGGAAACCATTTAGATTTCATTAGAGAACAGTGTGTGGACTATTCAGTAGTTTGGGATCATTAATAAAGGAAGACCTAACACTGCTTTATCGAAGCGCTTCACAGAATCCTAGAGCAGTAGTTCTCAACCTTGGCACCACATCAGAATCTCCTGGAGAGCTTCTGAAAAATACTGATGCCTGAATCTTGCCCCCAGAGATTCTCATTTAAATGGTTTCGGAGGGTGGACTGGCCATCAGGATTTTAAAACTCTCCAGTTAATTCTAATTAATAGAACCACTGACAGTGGAATTCCAGGAGAGGGTACACAGGGAAGCACACTTTCCCCTCCTTTTTCCTTTTGCTCTAGAAACTTCTGGAAAGGAGCCCACTTGGAACTTCTGGAAGTACCTAGTGGCCCCGGATGGGAAGGTGGCAGGGGCTTGGGACCCAACTGTGTCAGTGGAGGAGATCAAACCCCAGATCACAGCGCTTGTGAGGAAGCTCATATTGAAGAAGCGAGAAGACTTATAACCATGTTCCCTCCTCTCCCACTGTCACCACCCCCACCTTCCATGGGTGACCAAAGAAAACTCAAATGGTGCTTCAGAAGGAGAGACCATGACTCTCCTTTGTCCACTCTTATCTCACCTATCACTCCTGTGTGGGAAAAATTCTAGTATTTTGATTATTTGAATCTTAGAGCAACCTAAAGGAACTCCTGGCCAGTGACGGCTCCTGACCAATGAATCACCAGTCAATAAGAACTTCTAGCCCATGAAAACATGTGGCAAATAGATGTATATCAAGCAGTAATCTCCTACTTATTAAGAACTTTATAAAACTGGGCCAATTTCTACCTCACAGGGCTGTTGTGAGGATTAATAAACAACCTAGAGCAGTACCAGCTCAATAGGAGGCATTCAATAAATGTGTTGGTTTTTTTTTGCATATAAACAAAAAAATAACTTGTGATAAATGAAAACTTGCACCCAACATGAATTACAAAAGTAATGTAAATTCATTGTAAGATAATGTAAGACGTCATGATAAAATGAAAATGTACCCCTCATTTTCTATACTCTCACTCCCTGGAGGTAAACATTGTTAATAATTTGGTACAAAGGCTTCCAAGCCTTTTTACCAAGCCAATCATTAGGATTCGAGAATTCACTGACCAAAAGTACACTACTATAACAAACAGTCAAACAATATGAATAGATAACTCACAGAACATAGATGGATAATAAGGATATGAAAAGATAGTCAACTTTGCCCTGCACGGTTTGGCTTAGTAGTTAGAGCACTGGCCCATGGACCAATGAGTCTCAGGTTTGATTCTGGTCAAGGGCATATACCTCGGTTGCCCTTGAGAGAGAGAGAGAGAAACATCAATGTGAAAGGGACACATCGAGTGGCTGCCACCTGCATGACCCAACTAGGGCCAGGGACAAACTGCAACCGAGGTACGTGCCCTTAGCGGGAACCGAACCCAGGTCTCTCTGGACCACAGGCTGACCCTCTAACCGCTGAGCCAAACCAGCCAGGGTGATTTTTTTAAAATGATAATACCCATTGTTGGTAAGGATGTGGGGAAATGGGCATTTGCATAAACTGTTGGGACAATAAACTGGCACATGTCTTTGGAGGGTGGTGCATATCTTTTAAAACAACATGTTCATATCCTTTGATCCATTATTTCTACTTTTAGAAGACTCCCAAACTATGCAACTATATATGTACAATAATATATATAGACACTGTTCATAATAGTGAAAATTGGATATAACCCTTGTATCCATCACCATAATTTATTACCAACCCATAGTCTGGTAATAAATTATGGTACAAATTCAAATGATACACTAATATAGTTATTAAAATTAATGAATTAGTCCTGGCTGGTTTGGCTCAGCAGTTAGAGCGTCAGCCTGCAGTCCAGAGAGACTGGGGTTTGGTTCCTGCTAAGGGCACGCGTACCTCAGTTGCAGTTTGTCCCCCGCCCTGGTTAGTCGTGCAGGTGGCAACCACTCGATATGTCCCTTTCACGTCGGTGTTTTTCTCTTTCTCTTCCTCCCTCCCACTCTATCTGAACAACAACAACAAAAAATTAATGAATTAGATTTATATATGTTAACATAGAAAGTTGTCCAAAAGGGAAACACAATGAACACATGCACACACACAAAATTCAGTATAAAGTATAATACTTTTATAAAAATGTTACAGTGTTAAGTGAGAGTGGGAGAAGGGGAAGGAGTATAGACCAAACTGTTACTGGTGGTTATCTGTGTGGAGGTGAGGTGGGATAACAGGAGACTTCACTTTGTTAAGTATTACTGTAATGTTTGAATTTTTTTTTTTTTGGTACGTGCCCCTAGCAGGAACCGAACTCAGGACTCTCTGGTCCGCAGGCCGATGCTCCAACCGCTGAGCCAAACCGGCCAGGGCAATGTTTGAATTTTGTATGTAAAATATATTTTTTACTTTAATATAAATACAAAAAGAGGCAGCTAAAAACTAGATGATGGGCAAAGTCACTGACTGATAATTCATTGACTAATAAGAATTTTATGTCAGCTTCTCCCAAGGTCACTCTTCTAGAAGAAGCAGACTCTGATTCAAGTCCTGGCTGTTCCCCTGACTCACAGACTCAGCACATTGTTCCCACTGGACAATGATAGGGTTGAACTGTGCTTACAGTTCTCACAGTCTCCCTTAATGGTCCTTCTCAAAAGCTGCCCAGCGTAAATGAAGGCTCTCTTTGAGTTGATCATAAGCCCGTCTAAGGTGGCCTCCAGACTACCCTTACCTACCCTGTTCCATGCTCCAGCTCGGCATATATTCACTCATGTGTGTGTACCCCCCCCCCCCCCACATACAACGAAATCCAGCTACCACAGACATTTTTAAAAAATAGTTTTTCTTTATTGATTTTAGAGAGAGGAAGGGAGAGGGAGAGAGAGAGAGAAATATCAATGAGAGAGAACATCGATTGGCCACCTCCTGCAATACACCCCACTGGGGATTTGGTCCACAACCTTGGCATGTGCCCTGACCAGAAATTGAACCGGTGACCTCTTGTTGCATGGGTCAATGCTCAACCAGTGAGCCACACTGGCCCGGCTATCACAGACATTTTTGTGATGGACACCTTGGAACCACAATCTCAATGGACAAGTCTCTGACTTTATCCTTCTTGACCTCTCAGCCACATCTGACATTGCTGACTACACTCTTCTCCCTGACACATTCTCTTCCCTTAGCTTTCATGCCACTGTCTTCTTTTGGTTTTCTCCATCTCTGAGTGCTCCTTCCTTCCTGATGTTGGTTAATGTTTCTTCCTCTGCCCACTCCTTCCCTGTTGTTCTTCCTTGGGGTTCCAGGCTGGCCCCTTTTCTCACTCCATACACTCTTCTACAGCCATCTCATTTTTTTCTCCTGGTTTTGACCACCACCTGTGTGCCTTGGACTCAAATCTATACTTTGGACCCTTATCAACCTGCCTACTGGGCATATCTACAGACACCTCAATTCAACATACCTAGAATTAAACTCACCTGCTCTTCCTTCCTCCCAGACTTTGCAGACCCCCTAAGCCTTTCCTGTCACACACCACGCACTCACTCACCACACTCTATTCTCATTGTTTAAGCAACTGCCCTCTCTTCTCTCTTCAGCATAGTGCTTGGCCTTTAGCAGATTAAATGAAATTAGATGGCAAACATTTTGAGCAACAGCTCCATGCTGTCCCTGACTAAATCCTATCTGAAAACCAAAGACAAACAGTTTCCCCCAGAAGTTTAGAGTCCAGCTGAGGACTTTAGTCTTAAATAGACTTCATTCCTAGGCTTTATCAGCTTTATGCTGTTTCCAAATCCCCTCTAATGTGCAAGAATCCCCTAGGAAAAATCTCACTTTAAACCCTTCTCAACTATTACCTTAGTCATTGGTTAACCAGTATATGCTAACAACTTAGTTTTAAATTAATCCCTCAGTTATCAGCCAGCATTTGAGTAGTTAATATTTGATCTTCTACCAACACTTTAATTATCTTCTAATACTTTATTTTTTTAGCCAAATACTCTATTTATTAGGTTATATATTAGTACTCAGTAATGTGGATTAAAAAAAAAAAGGGCAGGCCATGCTGGGTAGTCATGCCCCAGGCCTATAACTTCTTTAGTGAAAGGTTTTTAAGCAAGCTTTGTCCATTGTTCTTGTGCATTGAGGTTAACACATCTTTGAAATGCAGAAGTAACACTCCTCAAAGGTGTAACCACCCTGAGGAAAGCACATAAGTTTGTAAACCAGTCCCTGCCTTGCTTTCTCCCAGCTTCAGGTAATCTTCCTTAAATTACCTCATTAATTCCAAATGTATAAAAGAAAATGCAAACTTATTCTCCAGAGCATCTGAGATCTTGTTTCCTTGCATATATTGTCAGTTTGGCTCAAATAAGTTCATAAAAATTTTCTGCAGGTTTGGACATTTCTTACATCGACAGTAGTTTAGCGTTGACAAGCCTTAATTATTAATCTATATTTTAGTTGTCTCCTTAAATCTTATTACTGATTTCTTAGCAATCTGCTATTAATTTAGGGTAGATTAGCAAGTCAGAGACCACCAGTTAAGAGTTTGGGAAGGGGGCCATTTCTGGCTGTGGATATGATAAAGGCCTTTGTCTTTTGCTGGGCTCTCCTGCACTCCCTCAGTGATTCATTCTCTTTCAATATTGACTGGTCTCAGATCCTCAGAGAAAGGGAGGTTCCATCCTAATTGTTTATTTATTTATCTGAATGGTGTGGAGAGTGTGACTATGAGGGGATTTCCTGGAAAATTATGGTTGGAAGAGACATTCATTCATCCATCAACAAGCATTTCCTGAGCACTTCTTTTTTTTTTTTTATCCTCACCCAAGGACATTTTTCCATTTTTTGTTCAGATAGAGTGGGAGGGAGAGAGAGGGAGTGAGAGGGAAACATCGACGTGAAAGGGACACATCGAGTGGCTGCCACCTGCACGACCAAACCAGGGCCAGGGACAAACTGCAACCGAGGTACATGGGTCTCTCTGGACCGCAGGCCGACGCTCTAACAGCTGAGCCAAACCGGCCAGGGCTCCTGAGCACTTCTTATGCGTCATGTTCTGCTCTAGGTGCTAGGGATACATCAGTGAACAAAACATATGTTCCCAGCTGTCATGGTGCTTAGAGAATAGTGAGAAAGACAAACATTAACCAAATAATTACACCAATTATTGTAGAATTACAATTATGATAAGCACCAGGAAGAAGTATAAGGAGCCATGAACATGTATAAAAGTGGGCACTGGACCTATTCTGGAGTTCAGAGAAGGCTTCCCTGAGGAATGATATTTAAGCCGAGAGGTGAAATTTTCAGTAAGAGTCAGTTAGGCAAAAGAAGTGGGGAGGTCCTAAACCTGTGGAGTGGCTCCTGCAAAGGCCCTAAGAAAGGAAGACACTGGATTATCTGGATGGAGCCAGTGTTGCCTGGAGCCAAGGGATAAGGAGAAGGGTGAGAGAGGTAAACAGGAATCAGATCCTTCAGGACCTGTGGAATGTAGGTAAGAAATGCAATGAACATACGGACAGGTGGTGAAATCACAATGCAATATACTGATGATGTATTATAGAATTGTATACCGGAAACCTATAAAATTGTATTAGTCAATGTCATCCCAATAACCTTAATAACATTTATATTGAGAAAAAAAAAAAAGAAATAATAGTGGCCTGACCTAGCATGACAGAACCTGTCTTCAATCCCAAATCTTAAGGGCAGAAATAAACCCAGGTCAGAAGCAGACATTAAATTACTGATACAAGAAGTAGGCAGCTCTGGGGTCTGCCTGGAGACCCAGTCACCATGGAGACACCTGTGAAAATCAGACAGT